CACAGATTGGGTTAGAATGGGTGCACTCCAAGTGAGTCATGCTCATCCAAGGGGCAAGCATCAGGGCTTACGTCTCCTACTTACCATGGCCTGAGTTGCTTTATAGGGGCCATGCTCACAGTTTGCTAGATGGGGACTAGCAGAAGTCCATCAGTGGCTATTAGCCACAAGGTATAGATAGGAACTCTTAGGCTGGGGCAAGTGATGCTCTGTATTCTTGGTGCTTGAGGGGGGGCAACAGTGGGAGGGCTTCTAGTGTCCTGGCCCCACTGCTGGACCGCCTAATGGCACCTGGTATTTTTGGCCACTGTATGACAGAGTGTTGGACTAGATGGGCCATTGGCCTGATCCAACACTGGCTTCTCTTATGTTCTTATGACTAGATGAATGTCAGTGTTGTTGTACGAAGGGCATTAAGGAATTATTTATTCGTTGCATGGCTGATGATGTCACCGGGGCAAATTTCAGACTGATGTACAGGCGGTCCTGCTGATCCTCTTGTACTGTTCCAGACTCTGGTGTATTTTTAGCTATGTGTAACATTGCCAGAGCAAGTGCTGGGACATGAGGGAGAAAAATGTTGTGGAGCTAAGTTATGCAAACTATTCTCTTGAGTCCTGTTGCAACACAGAGTAGTCTGGCTTCAAGTGCATAGCACTGGCTGAGTTACTATGCTTTCATTCCTGCACCCATCTTTTACTATAGGAAACATCTTGAATATGAAAATTGCAAGTATATCTGTTCTAGAGGGGGATAATTTAGCTCTTAAAAATAGCACCTAGAGTTATGATTATACGATCATCCTCAGACAACGAATATAAATCACACATACACACACAAACCAGAGGTGGCCTAATGCAGATGTTTATAGAAATGAAGTATTCTGGGCACTAATGGATCTGTATTTTATTATTTTTATATTAACACTTTTATTAATAGTATATAAAACATTTCATTATTTAATTGGACTTGTAATTGGACTTGTCACCCAGAATGGGTAACACATTTGCAAGTTATTTTGGCCTGTATGTCTCTATGCTTCTGCATTTCTAGGCACCTCTCACATCACTTTTGAAATATTGAGAGACTCTGGCTTTGGCAGATCTTTATGGGCAGAACACTGAGGGTCAGCTGTCCAGATGGTATACTTAAGGTCACTTTCTTGATCCATCTTCTTTGTGCTGGAATGTGGTGATTCTATCAAGCTTAAGATGATTAGCAAAACCTAAGTACTTTAAAGTCCTATAAACTGTCCGTGTGTCTCAATTAAAGTGGTTAACTTTTTATGTGTATAATTTTTGTGTGTATGTGTGTGCTTGGTGACTTCTGGCAACTGCTAGTGGGCTAGGACATTGCCTGCCACTGTGTCCTGGCCCTGGTATTCCTTGGAGGTCTCCCTTTCAAGTACTTGCGAGGGTTGGCCCTGTTTAGCTTCTGAGATCTGATGAGATCGGGCTTGCCTGGACAAAGATTGGGCTTGCCAGGTAAGGGCGAAGGGCTTAACTTTAGTTGTGTTTGACTGAATCACAGTTTTCCCTTCCACAAACAAGGAGCATTGCTTCAGTATAGGAAGCCTTGCTCTGATTAAAGATACCTTGCTGTGACTGGTCTTCTTCTTCTGCAGCAAGGCAGAGCAAGGGTCTTCATTCAATGGAATGGCATGGTGGGGTCCAGACTGTTGTTTCCTTGTTGAAAGTGTGAGACTGGGTTGCACTCCTTGCTAGTTACAGAGTGTTAAGATATTCTCTACAAACTGTTTTGATGAGTGAATGTAAGGCTGCGATCATACGCACAATTAGACCCAACATAGGTGTGAATGCTGGGCGGATTTAAAGGGCGTGATCAGACAGCAGCATCTGGGAAGTGCCCCGCAGCCGTCAGCAACCCATTCTGCTCCGCCGCAGAAGCGGAGTTAAAAGACACTGGGGGAAATTTGGTAGTTAACAGGTTGCAATGGGCCACAGATGGTGTCTAATCGCTCCAGCACGCTCTCATGGCATTGGGATGGTCTGATCAGGCCACCCCAACTCTGTGCCGTTGTTTCCCCCCTTCGCAGTATGTGCATCATTGCAAACTCCATAGGGAGCCCTCGATGCGGAGGTGCGATTCATCAATCCCTCAGTTAAACGCGTGGGGGGGAAAGGGCACACAAAAAAGCCGACTCACCCGCAGTTGCATCTGGTCACACACTGACGGACTGCGCCCACAGCTTCAAAGGGAGGGTCAAATTCCTCTGGAGGAAATAGCCTCGCTTCCCCCCCCCCATTTTTTTCTGGCGCGTGTGACCGCAACCTAAGACAGTCAGCTAAGAAAAAATATTGAAGCTTTTAGTCATATTTTGTGATATCGTGACATGGCTAATAAAAATGCCAATATTTGCATTTTAGATTATTAAAGTGACATAAAACTGACTGCCGTTTCTTCCAAAAAATTTTTTAAAAATATATTCATTTGGTCTTGACATTCCAGAAGCTAGGGAAGAACAAAACTCTCTGCCAAACAACATCAGGGCCCTGTGGGATCTAAGGCAATTCTGCAGGGCCTGCAAGGCAGAGATGTTCCGCCAGGCTTTTAGTTGAGGACAGCAATGGGAGGTTGAGACTGGCACCCTCTCTTTTCCCTCTGTGGCCCCCACGTACCCTGCCCTGCCCTGCTGGGTAGGACAGCGGTGTGGCCGGCAAAGGAGGACTGTTATGCCATCTGGAATGGTTTTAAATTATAATTGACAGTTCTACCACTATAAATTTAATTATATGTTACTTGTATTTTAAATGTTTTAAGAATGTTTGCAGGTTGGGCAATTCATAAATTCAATAAAATAAATAAAATAGATAAGTTTGCAGTAAAACACCATTTAATGATTGAATGGTGGAAAAATACAGAAAAAAAATGTTTAAGATCAAAGATCACATTTGTATTTTCATTACTGAAGTCCTGATATTAATACAGAGCTAGACTATACTTAGGCAAGTTTCCGGTCGCTTCTGCAATTTGTTGTTCTTTCCCCCTCACATTATCCAATATAACAGTGTTCTTTTGCTAAGAATCGTGACAGTCAAATAAATTTCAGTCATTTTAAATGGGGACATGCCCATATGTTGAACATGAAGGTATCATTCTGTGGGGATTGCTTTTTGTACATGTTCCTCAAGGCATTCTCAAGATACTTCCGTTGAATGAATTTTGATTTTCTTTTGCCCTTTTGCTGTCATCGCAACAAAAAACCAGTAAGTGGTATATTTAGAAATAATATAATAGACAGTAAAAGAACAGTCCAATGTATTTTTTCCCCAAATTGGTGCAGTCTTTACCTTTAAAAATAATGAAATTATTCCTAATCAATCATAATAAAATAATGTATAGAATATGAAAACTACATGTTAAAAATTATATGTGCTTGAAAGGAATAAAAGCATTTCATGTACAACATATGGAATCATAGAATGACAGAGTTGGAAGGGTTCATACAGGCCATCTAGTCCAACCCCCTGCTGGAATTTTTATATGCTGTAAAATTGATCAGATACCTATTCACATAAGAAAAGATAAAGGGTCCAGTAGCGCCTTAAAGGCTAACAAAATTTGTGGTAGGGTATGAGTTTTCATGACCCCACTGCTCACATCATCAGATAAGTGAAAAGGTGAGCAGTGACTCACGAAAGCTTATACCCTACCACAAATTTTGATAGTCTTTAAGGTGCCACTGGACTCTTAGTTGGTCTTTAAGAACCACTGGACTCCTACTCTTTTTTACTGCTACAGACAGACTAACATGGCTATCCATCTTGATCTATTCACATAAAATTGTTGAATGACTATAGGCTGTCTTAGCTCAGTGTTATTAATACTATACCTTTTATTAAATGACTTTTGATACCCACTTATTGCTTGAAATACATTACTTTTTTGGCTTATCTCATGCTTTTTAGCTCTACAGACCATGACAACTCATAATTTGTCTAATAGGAGGAATTAATATGTCTGTTCTACAATGTCTAAACTGAATTTATTTCCACAGCTATCATCTTTCTAAAGTGTCTCTGAAAATAGATGTGCAATTAAGCAGCTAAATTATTGTTATGAACAATAATTTTTTTGGCCGTTGTATGTCACAAAACTCCAGCTCATTTATTAGCAGATGCTTCCATTAATTCAGCATTGCTTGCCCTTGGCTCAATGAGATTTTGATGTTTGAGTTGAAAAATATACAAAGAACTTTTCTATTATTTCTGAATGCCTCTGTGATGACCAGTAAACTTGACTTTCATTTTGGATATATGTTTTGGCTTGTTACTCTGGTGCTATTTCAGTTTTGTTTTTGAAAAAAAAATCACATATACATACATTTTTAGAAAAGTAAGTTAAACTTTTGTTGTTGTTGTTCAGTTGCACAGTCGAGTCCAACTCTTCACGACCCCATGGACCACATCACGCTAGGCCCTCCTGTCCTCTGTCATCCTCCGGAGTCTGCTCAACTCCACGTTCATTACATCAATATCACTGTCTAACCATCACTTAAAAAAAAGAGCCTGTATTTTAAAGAAGTTTGAGTTTCTAGGCCCCATCTTAAGAATTTCCTTATGTACTTTCTTTGTTGTCTGTTTCTACTCTGATAAAATAAATTTTATCTAGCAAAACCGTATAATTATCTACAAGAATCTTGGCAACTGTTCAGCACACCATTTTATGAACAATTTCCATTGACCAAGTAAATGAACTTATTAACCATGCGCATATACTGAAGACATGAAGCAACAGGGTTTCATAGTGTTCTTACACACATCATTATATTCCACAATCATCTGATAGGATCTGGCGTTCAAACCTAATGAAGGACATATGGTGTCTAGATTGCTGCTATGCAGGAACAAATTCAGCTTGCTAATGAGAAAAATGAAAAGGAGTGGGGGAAAGCCTTATAAAATTGCCTGATCTCTAAGACTGCTTTTGGAAAAAAAACAAAACCCTTTTGTGTTTCTTTTTCCCTTGGGAATATCCAGTTTATCGTGGTTTCTGGTCAGTTCTCCTGCTCCTGGGCGTGGTTACGGCGGTCTTTGCTAGTTTCTTCATCATCTGTGCTGCACCTTTTGGCAGTCATGTCCTCTACAAAGTGGGGGGAGGATTTTTCATTTCTGCTGGTAAGTGTCTTGTGTATTCTTCAAGTTGGCAACCTCCATCCTAAATATGTATATTGTGCTCTTGACTCTTGACATGGATTTCAGTGTTTTAATTTTAAAAAACCCAACGATTTGCTGGGCATTTCTCCTGCAGAAATCTAACTGAGAGGTATAATACTTACCAAAAGAGCTCATCTGCTATTCAT